GGGTAATTAGGACTGGGATAAGATTAAATATATGTTTCCTAAATGTGTTTGATATTGTATAACACAAATTAATCCTTCTAATAATGCTAGGGGTCAGGATTTTACTAGCATCTAACTAACAATGGAGTGTTCTCTATTAAAACAAAAACAACCTACAAAATGGTCACTAATTCTCAATCTTCTTGACATCTTTGATTTAGTCTAGAAATAAGAAGGTCCTCCAAAAATAATTTTTTAGCTAATGGTAAATTATTGACCAATAATAAAAGATTTAGAAGAGGAATGTCTCACTCCTTTACCTGTCCTAGATGTAATGAGACTCCTGAAACCATTATGATTTTGACTTTTATAATTCCTATTGTAGGATCATCTCCAAAAATATCTCAAGGCTTGCTCCTGATCAACATCACATAAATAGGACCTATCCAAGCTCTAGTTAGGTCAAACTTAGTGTGGATAAAGTTGTCTCCAATACGTTTGGAATTGCTATATGTAGCAGTCTTATAAGAGATTGTCATGGCCAGTATATAATTAGCTTCTATTCAACAAATGATTTATGCACTCCCTTAGTTACTGAATCAAAGAGTATCTTGCTGGGGACCAACTAGCTTTGCGAAAAGATATTTATTTTGTGTGGATTAAGAGCGATTCAAAAGAGGTTATATTTAATTGTTAATATGTTCCCACCCTTTGTTTGATTTAATCAATAATATTAGAGAATTACTGAAATTCATTTAATATGTTAAGTTTAGTCATATTTGTAAAGAAGGTAACCTTTGTATTGACAAGTTAACAAAATTAGGATTAGAAGAGTTTGTTTCTTTTTCTATTTTTGAGAAAATTTAATTATCTTTGTATTCTTTTTAAAGTCTTATGTCATTGATAGTTAGACTTTTAAAAGAATTCCTTAACTTTTGTTGGTTGGACTTTTAGTTCCCTTTATTAGAAAAAAAAATGAAATAAAATAATATTATTTTTATAATCATTTAAGAATAATTTAATATTTTTATTTATATCACATATTATTAGTTGATGATTTAAAATTTTATGGTAAATGTATAAACTATTTAAGAAGAGAATTAAATTTTAGCAACTAGTTTATTTTTTTTTTCATTTTGAAAGTCATATAAAATTATTAATGCATATCTTAATAGTACTTTATTATTGTTATTATTATTTAAATTCAATCCTAAAAATTGATATTAGCAATTTTTTTTAATTTACTATTCATTTAAAAACCTGTATTTAAGATATCGCATCACATTTGTTTGTAAAACCTTTTGATAGTCTAATTATCAGTTTTTAGTTTGTTCCTGAATCCTTGTTTCTATTCTATTTAAAACTCTTTCCCTCTCTACCCCTCCCCCCCCCCCCCCCTTCTCTTTCTCTCTCTCTCTCTATATATATATATAAACAAGAAATATACAATAATTGATTAAAAAAACATAAGAAGAGGACGTGCGCCAGATGAACACGAAACCACTAAAATAAGGGAAAAAAACATTCGAACTAGTGCCCCCATTAAGGAGTGCTTTCTCTCCTAACTAGCAAAACTAGTTAAGCCTAGTCAATTTAGAAGGTTACTGAACAGAAGCGTATTTTTAATATATTTTTCATATATATATATATATATATTTAGAGAGAAAAAAAACGAACGTTTTTGTTCATTTAAATTTTTGTATATCTATTTGAAGAATTAATAAATAATTTTTCATTAAATATTTATATTTTTAATAAAATATTTTTATTTATGATTTCTTAATAAGTTGTTCTCACATTTTTTCAATAAATAAAAGGATAGTGTTTTGAAAGTGCAAGCAAACCGTATAATTACGATGTTGATTGGTGACCCAGTTGGTATTTGGCATCTGTAGGGTATGGTGGCCACTGGATATTATCCAACACTAACGATTTCACAAATTTCATTTTCTATTTTATATAATAAAAAAGATGACCCACTTTGGATTGTCGCTGACGAGTAGTGTCTGGTGGCCACACGAGCTTTACCATTACCAGAGCGGCAAAGCCTTTGTGGTGTTCCTTAGCTTCTTAACGTGAATTGTTGCAATGCTTCGTCTTCTCCCCTTCCTCTTCTTTACGGTAAGCCATCAATTCAGTCAACTTGAATAATTGTTGGTTCCTGTGATTGCTGCTGTTCCATTTTGGGACTTCAATGTTGTTGTCATAGCTGCACGTTGTTGGTTTAACTGTGCAAAGTTGACATTTTTTAGGTACATTCTTCTTCATGTGTGTTATTTAGTGTGACCCAGATGGCGTTTTGAGTATTTGTTTGGAGATTCATTGAGGATTTTGAGGGATTTATATGTTACCTATGGATACTTTGCTCAAAACACCTAACAAGCTTGGTTTTTTGCACCCACTTCACGGTTATTCAGAAAAATTGGGCCATTCTGGTTCATCTAAGTTACTGAACCAGGACCTTAGATTTGGTTCTAAGAAACCACTTGTTAGATGGGGTAAATGTGGTGGTTTGAGGGCTGGTAGCAGTGCCCTTCTTGAGCTTGTTCCTGAAGTTAAGAAGGAGAATTTGGATTTTGAACTTCCTTTGTATGATTCATCAAAGGGAGCTGTGGTGGACCTTGCAGTTGTGGGAGGAGGCCCTGCAGGGCTTGCAGTTGCACAGCAGGTTTCTGAGGCTGGCCTTTCAGTTTGTGCCATTGATCCAAACCCTAGATTAATTTGGCCCAATAATTATGGTGTTTGGGTGGATGAGTTTGAAGCCATGGATTTGCTGGATTGCCTTGACACCACGTGGTCCGGCGCGGTTGTCTTCATTGATGATAAAACAAAAAAGGATCTAGATAGACCTTATGGCAGGGTCAATAGGAAACAGCTGAAGACAAAGATGCTGCAAAAATGCATATCAAATGGTGTCAAGTTTCACCAAGCCAAAGTTATCAAGGTTATTCATGAGGATTACAAATCTATGCTGATTTGTAATGATGGTGTCACTGTTCAGGCTAATGTGGTTCTTGATGCAACTGGCTTTTCAAGATGCCTTGTTCAGTATGATAAACCATACAATCCAGGTTACCAAGTTGCTTATGGGATTTTAGCTGAGGTTGATGAACATCCATTTGACATAGATAAAATGCTTTTTATGGACTGGAGAGATTCACATCTGGACAATGACAAAGAGCTAAAGCAGAGAAATAGTAGAATACCCACCTTTTTATATGCAATGCCCTTTTCATCCACCAAGATATTTCTTGAAGAAACTTCTCTTGTTGCTCGCCCTGGGTTACGTATGGATGACATACAGGAAAGAATGGTTGCTAGGTTGAAACACTTAGGTGTTAAAGTGAAAAGCATTGAGGAAGATGAGCACTGTGTCATTCCCATGGGTGGCCCCCTTCCAGTTCTACCCCAAAGAGTTGTTGGCATTGGCGGGACTGCTGGGATGGTGCATCCTTCAACTGGGTATATGGTAGCAAGGACCCTAGCTGCAGCTCCTATTGTTGCTAATTCTATTGTTCAGTGCCTTGGTTCTGATAGAGGTCTTTCAGGAGTTGATATATCTGCGGAAGTGTGGAAAGATTTATGGCCCATCCAAAGGAGGCGACAAAGGGAGTTCTTCTGTTTTGGTATGGACATCTTACTCAAGCTAGATTTACCAGGCACAAGGAGGTTTTTTGATGCATTTTTTGATCTGGAACCTCGTTACTGGCATGGATTCTTATCATCAAGACTGTTTCTTCCTGAGCTCATATTTTTTGGATTCTCTCTATTTTCTTATGCTTCTAATACATCTAGGATAGAGATTATGGCAAAGGGAACTCTTCCTTTGGTAAACATGATCAACAACTTGATAAAAGATACAGAATAAGATGATTTCCTACATATCTATTGTATGCTACTTATGCTGTGCGCTTCCACGCGTATTTTCCTACTCATTGTAGATTTCCAATAATGTATATCTATTATTCTTTGCTCACATCAATTTATTCTGGGTACTCAAAACTTCATCATATATTAAGCCTATCACTACCTGCTATGACTAAGAGGAAAAAATTCCGTTCTTTATTCTTGATTAATATTTATCTATAGATAAGGGATTTCACTCTTCTGATGCACTTGGAGAATTCTTGGGCAAAATCTAATATTAACTGGATGATGAGGTTTCTTCATTTCAGCACGAACAGGTTGCCTTACCCATTCCCGTTTAAAACCATATCAAGTCACCCTTGAGCGTTGCAGTGCATCATGACTTGTAAATTGCTATTTCCTTGCAAGTGTAAGCATTTATGTCTCCATCACTATAACCGTGATCAATGAAATGTTCTAAGAAGGGACTACCATGATTCATTACAAATACGATCAACCTATACTCAATGAATCATGCGATAACACTCTTCTTAGATTATGCAGAGCATGACCTATCTTAATGCATGAAGCTTCAAATGAGCACTGGATAAAAAAGAATTAAAAAGAATTAGAACCAGTGCTAAGCACTAGCACTGCAACCAGCAAAGCGTGGATGGTCCAACGGGAGCGGAAATGGGTATTATACTATTGGAAAATGTTCACTTTAAAGTGAAATTATCTTCAAATTGAGTATTCATTTTTAAACATTATAATGACTTAAAATCACTTTAAATTAAATTAAAAGAAATTTTAGATTCATTCTCATTTACTCATTGAAAAGATAAGTTCACTTTAATACGTCATTTACTATTATGAACTTGGGCTATCCAAATTCCAATCTTGTTCATATGATCAGTAATATGATTTCGAAAAGTGAATTTCTTACTAGTGTTAGCTTGAGATAAATTATCATTATATAAATTTTTTATGGCATGCAGGAGAAAAAACCCTTCAAATAATTTCACTGTATTTTATTCTAGACAAAATAAAATTATGTTGTTGCTTAGTTTGAAATCTGGTGTGAATGCGGTATTTTTATGACCTTTCAAACATGTCAAGTGTGGCAGTTAAATTAAAAAAGTTTGGAAACATTAGAAACGAAATGCTTTATAGGTGGTTGCAACTCTTGGTGGCCATGTGTTTTATTTCACTCTTTTGTACTCTCCTGTAAAGAAACATCAACCATTGACATGCCTACGTACGTATTCAGGATGCTAGCCGGAAATGACTACCATGCTATGCTAATTGGCCCACCCTTTCGTGAGGAGTAGTGTTAGAAAAAGGACAACAAAGTTACAATGGCCAAACATTCTAGCAAGATTTACTCATCTAAAAGAAGAGCCCTAAGTTCACATAATAAAACTGAAAATTCTTCTGAAATCAAATTTTAGTATTAAAATGCAGAATCGTCATCATCTAGATTCAGGAAAGCTCTCGGCTGCGCTTAGCAGCAGCAACAACAGCATTCATTAGTGTTCCACGGAACCCGCCTTTTTCCAACTCATGAATGCCTGCAATTGTTGTCCCACCCGGAGAAGTAACGTCATCCTTAAGCTGTCCCGGGTGCTTCCCAGTTTGGGTGACCATTGATGCTGCTCCCAATACCTGGAAATCACACAAATAAGACAACCCAAGCAAACAGCAACTGGAATGACCTATTCAAATGCAGGAAGGCATGCTTATAAATGAAAATCTTTTGCCCCTACAATCCAGGACACTTGCCACAACATTCAAGCAACAGCAATTGCATTAACTGTAACCTTATTAATTTATTTCTTCTTTGAATTACTAGTATATGCCTATGTGCAGACACATGGTGGTCCACCAAAACCAGTAAGAAATTGGGGTCAAGTATAAATATGCATCCACACAATTTGGATGCACTGGTAAAATATCCAACTTTTCTACGATCCATTAGATGAGGCCAATATAAACTAGATGGTTTAGATTGATATAACTGGTCAATTGCTCAACCTGTCGATTAAACACTGTGACATGGATTACACTCGATAAATGACATGAATCAAATTTGTGATTCGATATTGGAGACCTCTATCTAGAATTTAGATTGAATTCTGTTTACTAGACTTATGCAAGCTAATAATAACAGTATATTGAATATAAACATTATTTCAGATTATATTACAATGAAGCTCAAGCAACATTCAGCTTAGCTTTAAAGCAAGAAGAAGCTCTGATCCTGTCAAACTGTTTACGATTGACAAGAAAAATGAAACAGTTTTACTCTTCTATAAATTAAAATAGACTAATTGCTACATATTTGACACATATCAAACAATTTTATTTTTTTTGTATCTGGCTTTATGATAAAATGTCATTATAAGATAATGCAAGAGCAAGCATCAAATAAATTATAAAACATTCAGAGAACAAAAGTATGAACTTCCCTCGTTAAATGGTCAAAGGATATGTCACTTCACTTACAGTTTGAGAAGCCAAACTTAATGAAAGATCGCGTGGTAGACCAGCTGCTACTCCTCCATCAGCCAAAGCCTCTATTGCTAAATAAATATAAGCAGGACCACTGCCACTGAAAAGTTTAGGAAAAATGAAAACAAGTTTTAGTAAATACCTCAAAGTAGTTTTCAGCTAGATATATACATTTTCAGAAATGATGAAATATAGTCATCGTCAAAACCCAGTCTGAAGCTATACACCGAGACAAATAAAAAAATATGGGCAAGGCTCACAAATCACTTGAACAGGTGGAATCAAATTACAGCGCTGATTGCGATTGAACATACAAGTATTATATAAAGGAGAATAAGATAGATATAGAGTTAGGGTAGAAGCCTGAAACCAATTCCCAAGTTCACAACCTAAAAAAGACGGAAATCACCGAACAGAATATTCAGAACCAAAGTCCAAACACTTTTTTTGTTCTCCAAATTGTAAATAGCATAGAATTGTATGGTAATAGCAGACCTAGATTTAAACCCCTCCATAGTCCACATACCATCTCTTATTTCCAAGAAAATTGTTCATCAAAGATGAAATAAAATTTATTGTAGATTTATTGGATTATATGCAAATATTATTTTGTCATTTTAGAAAATGACAACTATCTAAAATGACACCTACATACCTCAGCCCAGTTATTGCATCAAAAAACTTTTCATTAGCTTTTGATATTTTGCCAATTGACCCGAATAATTTGGCTATAACATTTCCATCTTCATCTGTTGCAGCTCCCCCCAAGCTCATAACTGTCATAGTTTAACTTAAGTTAATCTTTTCACTCAAGTCTGTAACTGTCAATATTGAAAAATTGCAAATTGATACAGAAAGAAATGCAATAAGGAATATCCATTGTTTTGTAGAATAACACACAAGATACAGAATTAACACAACGGGTAAGAGAGGGCATTCTTGACCTTGTAATTTATGGAAAAAGGCTCTTCTTCATAATTGAGATTTTTAAATGTGCAATTCATGCATCCAAAGAAAAAAGTGCAGAGATTACAAGATCAAACAGAAACAAGTCTACATCAGAGACCACTTTTGGGAACCTTTCAACCCCAACCTTCATAAAAGTGAAGCACAAAACACTACCACGGACTACTATGATAAATCATGTGTTACTTATGGAAGAGCCTCATTCATCTAACCCAAATCTCTTAATCATAATTGATAATCATCTTCCTCTCATATAACCAATAAAGATGCATAAAATTACAATATATTAACTATCCAGTATAAATATTAAAGGCCAGTCTACCAAGTTTTGTTGTCATGACAAGATAAGCTGCAGGCTCCATATTGGATCTTAGCATCTCAAACTTAAATAATTATTTTATCAGACAATCCTGACACTAAAAGAGTATTTAAAATTTCCCTCCAAGTATGAATTAGATAGCTGACAGAAACAGTCACAAACAAGAGGGGAAAATCATATTGTTTTTCATGTTAAATGGCTTTTATATTTAGAAGTTTAAAGAAGAGATTTTCAACAAATCAGCACTTTCAAGTTGCCCATAGAAACTGATTTTTCAACCAAAAACTCTTGAACATAAGCAAATGTGGCCCAGTTTGCATTAGCTTCAAGCTTAAGCTTTTCAATAGAAAAAAAATCCTACTGTTAAGACTTTTCTAAGGCAAGAATGTCAAGCTCTATAGGTGCTAATGGAAAAATTAAACGAGGAAGCTTCTTAAAAAAGGTTGATTTGAACTTATGTGAAAAACTCTGACTCATTTTACCTCCTCGATTCATTTTAAGTACAACAAGCAATTTAGAATTCAGTGAGTCAATGATGGAACTACCAAGCTATACAAACAATTCAGATAGCAATCATAGCATACATTCTCAACCTTCTGCATAAAGAAAGTAACTGGAACAAAATATGTTTTTAAAAGGGTAGTGAAAAATGGTAATACCTGATGCTGCCTCGCCAACAGCAGCAGGCGTATTAGGCATTACTCTTATAAATCTGTCGCTCGCAGCCCATTCCTACATTTCATGAAACAACCATTTTCCAGTATGCAACCTAACAAATCTTTAAGGCTAAAGAAAAGTAAAAGCTACTTGCACAATCTAAGTGAAGTATGTGCATCATTTGCACTATTGTTTTTTTAATCAATCTACAGTTGAACCAGGAAAGAAAGTGCAAGCACAAGTTTGTACAAGTATCTTATTCAATCAAAACTAGTAGATTATGGAAGACTTCACTCACTGAGTCATTAACTATGTTAACTTTCCCAAAACTAAAATCATTTTGATTTTTCTTTATTGAAATACTTCCCTAGTTTCTCCACATTCAGCTATGAATAAGACGCAATTTGCTTGCCATAAGCCTTTTTCTTAACTCTTTTTTTTTTTTTTAGTGTGTGTGTGTCTGTGAAGTAATTAGTGCCGGAAAGAGCCATATTTGTCATTGAATAATAAAAATTATGCCGAAAGTCCCCAAACATGTATTTCTTTTGGGTCAAATTTGAGTTGACTGATGAAATTGACGTTTAAGGACTAATTTGACAGATGCATTAAGAAATAAGAACGCTACTTGCTTATTCAATAAGTTTTATTTTTTCATGTAACGACTTGTCATAAATTTAACTACGATAATCATTGGAATAAGTTAAAAGCATTGGATAACCTGAAGATCCTTCAGCTTGACTCCAGCAGCAACCGAAACCAAAAGCTTGTTCTTCGTCAGAAGCGGCCTCAATTTCACCACCACGTCTTTCACTGCAACCACTTTAGCTCGTAAACGAAAACGCAGGTCAAACTACTCAAACATGAACCCGCTGAGATTGATATAGAAACAATGGAAATACCTAACTGAGGTTTGACCGAGAAAACGACGACGTTGCTCTCTCGAACGACCTGCAAGTGCGAGGAATAAGAAATAAAAACGCGTTGCGTTTGTTTCAGCGAGGAAAAAGAAAATAAAAGAGATGGAATACGTCTTCATTTGAAGGGAGGAGAGTGGCGCCGAAGGATTCGAAGGCGGCGCGGCGAGCGGGGTTAGAATGAGCGGTGCGGATGCGAGAAGGTGGCAAAACGCCGGACCGAACGGCGCCTCTGGCAATGCTCTCGGCCATTTTTCCGGCGCCGATGAAGCCGAGAGTGTAGGAATCTGCGGGAATCGGAACGATTTCCATTTTTTATTATATGGCAGAGAAAGCTATTTCGATTTCAATCTCGATTCTATTTCTCAGTGTTGTTATTTCAGTAGAGAAGTGACGTCGTGACAGAGACTCGTTTGGTTTGGCCACTCTACTCTTTCCAGTTGTTTTACTCGCGTACTCAACTTCGCAACAGCAATGATAATGATAATAACAAATTGTGTAGGAGAAATATAATTCAAGTTTAATAAATTTATATTTGCATTATTAGAGGCCTGTTTGTGTAGTGTGCTAAACTCCATTTTAAAGGAATTGTAGAAAAATAAAAATCTTCCAGAAAACTATGTTGTATTATCGCAAACTCAAATTTCTTGTTTAACCAAACGAGTATTAAGGGCGTATTCGATTATTTCTTCAAACTGAATTTACATGGTTTCTAAGATAGAAAAATTACGTTACAACGGAGATTCCATAAAAGGGGCTCCGTTTCCAAAATTATATAACAGGCTCAAGGTCATGGTAACCAGTATCTCTAAACAGATATTGATATTTTTCACATAATATCTTTTAAAACTTTTTTTTTATTTTTACATTACTTGTTTTTTATATTTCTTGTAGTTATGAAAAATATTGAATACTTTTATCTAACAATTTTTTTTAATAAAAATTATTTAGTGGAAGATACATTATTACCAATATTAAAAAATACATTAACTTTTGAAAATTACAAATTCAATTTATATATAAAAAAAATTGCGTAGGCCGATTAACTTATATTTAAGGGCTGCAGTTGATTTTTCACATTTTAAGGATCGGTGGATCATACTTTTTCGTACGTAAGACTTGGATTTAGATGCTCACCTTTTCATTTTGATACGTAGATGTGCTGTAAATTGGATTACAATAATTTTGTAGGGTGGGTAACAATGATAGGGTATTTTAACTATTTAATATTGATAAAATATATTATGAAAAATATAAAAATAGTTATTAAGAGGAGATAAATTTTAGGGATAAGTGATTTTTAATCCTTACACAAGATTCCCATTTGTAATTTAATTTTTACAAATAAAAAATTTGTATAAGAAACTTTATATAAAAATTTATTTTTAATTTTATTTTTATTATTGCAATTCCTTGCAGTGACGCAGTTTTTTTTTTTTTTTTATGTGTCAAATGATTATGTAATGTGATAACTTTAAATAACTTTTTAGTTCATGTACAAAACTCTTTTTTTTTAATTTAATGCTATAAGTAAAAAAAATTGTATATTAATTCTTATACAAGACTTTTTAGTTCATATAAGTATTTCATATTTTTTAAATATATTTTATATTTTGCTTTATATATTTTTAATTCAGAACATCGAGCTTTATTGTTTAAGTTAATTGTAAAAATTATCATAAGAAAACGTCATATCTTGATTTATTTTTATATAAGTATTATTTTTATTATTTTCATTTTAAACATTACTATTCATTAGTTCTATTATATTCTCATAATAATAGTCATCTATTATTCTATCATTGTTATTATAATGCTATTTTTTTAAGATAATCAATCTATAGTTGCATAAATAAATAAAATTAATGATGATAATGATAATTTAAAGAGTAATTTTGATTTTCTTATAAATGTACCAATGATATAAAAAAAAAATTTCTTAACTTTGAACACAACTTATGTAAATATGGTCGAGATTCGAGATATTGGGACAACGATGATAAAATAGATAAGAATTTCGATGAAGCACACAAGTAATGATAATTAAAATAAAAATATTTGAGGTGATACTCATGTAAAGATGAATCAAAATATGAAAATAGATATGAAAAAAATAAAACAAAGTATGAGGTTTAGTTGAAGAACGTGGAATACTCTTTTGAAGATGATTGAAAAATGTCACTTGACACTAATATAAAAATGTCATTATAATAATAAAAACGAAATTGAAAATAAATTTTCATATAGAAATTTATATACAAATTTCTTACCAACTAAATTATAAAAAAAAAATCTTATATAGAGATTAAAAAAATTTAAATATGCCATGTTAGATTTGTTGGCCATATAGGAGACAGAGCTAGCATCGTTACAACGTAATATAATAGTAGAGATGAAATGAAACACAAATTTTTATAGAGATATTGATATTTAATTTTTTATTTATAGAGACTAAATTACAAAAAAAAAATCTAAGGACTAAAATATCATTTATCTTTAAATTTTATTGACAAGAATAATATGTGACAAAGTTGATATAATGTTTCAGGTGAACTGACTTTACCTTTGATGAGAGGTTAACATGAAAACTTAAAATAAAACTTAAATAAAATTTCATGGTCAAACCACAAATTTCAATTATATTGTGGAGGCTTGGACATAAAAATTCATTGTCCATTTATATAGAATAAAGCAAGAAGACGGTGAATTTTTTAATTAAGAGTGAATGAAGAGAATTTTTGTAAATGGCATTAACCATGCAAGTTAAAAAATTAGATTAGTCAAAAATAGATAGTCACACAATAATAGAACTATTAAACATTTTTTATTATTGATTTTGAAGTTTTGTTATAAGTTATAGTTGAAAAATATATACATATCAATAATTTATTCGATTAATTTTAGTATCTATGGTTCACATTGTTGATAAGATTAATAATATATTTCTTTAATTGAACTCAAGCAATTAAAAAAATGTATAAGGGATAGTTAGGCTACTTTATTGCTGGTTTCTATGGTTGCATTAGTTCTTGTTCTCCCCTTGGTGCTGAACTATGGGCCTTATTTTGGGGATCAAATTGGTTATCCAAAAGCAAATCCATTGCATTTGGATTGAAGGGGATTCCAAGAAAGTTTTATCTCTTATTTTGAATCTCCAATCTTGCTCCCATCCTTTTGCCTCTTTATTGTATAATATTAAAGATCTTTTGAAACAGATTATGTTTGTTAGATTCAGTCATGTTTGTAGAGAAGCTAATCACTGCGTTAATTGACTTGCTAAGCTTGGTGTTGATGGGTGTATCCCTTTGAGTTGCTTTGATAGCCCCTCTTCCTCCTTGTTCCCTTTTCTTTGTCTAGATTTCTATGACATCTGGGCTTTCAGATGTAACTCTTAATTTCTTTGTTTGTTTGGACGTTTAACCCCTCTTCTCAGTAAAAAAAATAAAAATGTATAAGTCTGATTCAGTTGATTAATTTAAAGTGATTCATAATATAATATTTGATGCATGTACTCTAATATATATATATATAGCTTTTCTCTTTGAGCTCATCAAACTATTCAATACCTTAAAATCAATATAAGAAATATCCAAAATTTGCTATACAAAACAACAATCCACTTGCAAAAATATGAAGGAAAAAAATTACCAAAAAAAAAAAACTAAAAGAGGTCATAAAAGACACAAAACAATATTATAAAATTTCACTAATTGAAGAATTAGAAATGAGTGAGGAAACTTTATTTTAAATGGTGAAATGTGTTTCAAAGAAATTATTGTGACAGGGTTACCTATCAACAATGAAGTTGATTTGGATTAGGGTAATGTTGTCATTTTCAAACAACTCTTATTCTTTAAGTTTTATTTGTTTTTCCATTATTGTTTACCTATGGTCAAGTAGTCAATAATGAAGAAGAAAAAAATGTGAGTGTTGAGAGCTTTAGTTTAGAGAGGCATGTAGGATAAAATGAAAATAAATGAGTTAGATAGCTTAAAAAAAATAGAATATTTGCTTAAATGAATTTTGATTTTTGCTTAAACAAAAATTATGTTAAACCAAGGAAGTGTTGATAATCTACTAGAATCAAAATAAAATTAAAGGTTAAGTTCTTGTGCAAACTAGAAAGAATCTAAATCCTAAATTACGTTATTAAAATAAAATATTTTTAAAAAGAATATTAATAATTAAACGTAATTTTAAAATAAAAATTTTCATCTCAATTATTAAATTTTTTTTAAAACTATAAGAAACGAGTGTCTATTATTTTTAAATTGATTTTGAGTTTTTTAAAAACTTTTAAAGTTAAAATAAGTGATATTTGTGTATAGTTACTTACTTTTTTTTTAACATTTACATGCAAATCTTTTATAAGCAACAATGTCTAGGATTATTTTTTTAGTATATAGTATTTAAAAATAATATATATCAAAATATGATATTTAAAAAAATAAAGAAAATATGAAATTTAAAAATTACCAATAAAACAATTTTTTTGTCATAGATTCATAAATGAAACAACTAAAAATTATAAAGTATAAAAAATTGCTAATAGAAATTTGATGTTGGAAATTTGATGAGGGATATTTATTTTGACTCATGTCCTAATATCTCTTATCTTTCTATTAAAACTTCTATCTCGAACTTTAAGGCTCGTAGTTTTGATGAACTGAATGCTTTATTTTTTAAAAATTAATGAAATAATTTAACTCTTTTTTTCTTGAATTTTATCAATGATATCTTTGTCAATCTTGCTAAAATAGCTACTATAAATGGTATTAGGCCTATTTCTAAAATTGAGGGTTCTAAGTATATTAACCAATTTAGGCCTATTTCTTTATGCAATGTAAAATAATTATCAATTTAATTACTAATAGAATTAAAGAGGTTTTGCCTTACTTAATATTCGGTAACCAAACTAGCTTTGTCTCTAGGAGACAGGATATTCATAATATGTTTGTTTTACATGAGCTTACCCATTCTTTTTCTGAACTTAAGAAGAAATGGCTATATGATTATCAAGTTGGATCTTAAGAAAGCATATGACAGACTAATATGGTCTTTTGTAACTGACACTTTGCACATTAGTATAAATACTAAACTAGTTGATGTTATCAATCACTATATATCCATTCCTTCTATGTTTATTAAATGGAATAATAGTGTGATTGTCCCTTTTAAACTCTCAAGGGATATTAGACAAGGAGATCCCCTTTCCTTATATATTTTTGTTTTATACATTGAAAAGTTAGCTCATCTTATTAATAATCAAATAGCTAATGAAGAATGGTCTCTCTTTCCTTTTAGTAGGCAAAGTTTAAAGTTTCACACCTATTTTTTTTGTTGATGACCTGCTTTTGGTTGCTAAAATTGTAACGCCCCAAAAATGTAATATTGTTTGAGTATATATATAAATTATTTTCCTTTCTTCTCCCTCTTAGCCGGTTTTGTTCGAACTACCGTTATCCGGCTTTCTTCT